GGTTAGAGGGCCACTGATGAACACCTCCGCATTTAGAGAGCTGACAGTTTCCAACAGACATTTAAAGTCTTCTTTCAGCGCTTCTGACTGTTGTTTCACAACATCATTTGTTCCAATATGTAGTACCACATTCTTCACAGTCGGATGTTCAGCCCCAATATGCAGGATCTTCTCAGCCAAGTCGGAGACCATATCCTTGGGAAAACAGAGTACTTTGGTGTTGTTCTTACTACACAGACCTTTTACATCTCTTACAGCAGAATCACCCACAATCAGAGTTTCAGGCCCAGCCGTTAGCTTTCCCTCTAGCCTTTTACTTTTGGAGTAGCTATTGGTCCTTACCCTGCTGTGTGAAGAGGACGGGTTATCCAGGTCATCAGAAAGAGATCTCCGGTTCTCGGTCAGCGGAGCGTATCTGTTCTGGATTGGCAAACTTGGTGGTTTAGGAGGATTGTTTGTAGTTCTCCCTTTAGCAGCTGTCCACGGCTGTTTCCTAGTATGAATAGGGGTTGAAGAGGCACTCTTCCTGGGTGATAACAATGCAGGCCAGCCGGTCGCATCACAGATTTCAGAGCGCTGGGCTCTGCCTGTTATTCGTCCTCCCAAATCCCATGGAAATGATTTACTCTTAGGCTTTGCACCCAGAGAGTTCCAGGGAGGACTACCACTTGTAGATTTATTACCCAGTACACAGCCCTCCTGTTCCTTGGAAACCTTGTAGCTGCTAACTAGCTGTGAGTTAGCATACCCTTTTCCATTATCTTGCAACACTAGTAAAGTGGTGTTATTCCCACAACATAGTCCATTCACTTCCACGTTAACTTCCAACCGTTGCATTTTCATTTCCAACACAGCCATCTTCTGTTGAAGTTTGTGGAAGTCATCTGTAGAGAACGGAGGCATTTTGCTACCAACTAGCTTAAGCTAAATAGCATGCAGTAGCCTACCAGGCTTTAGCTGTTGCTAGGCCACGCTACTGTAAGACTGAGGTCGTCGTAAAAATGTTGAAATATGGCTGAAACCCTCCGTCTATTTACGATGAATAACTGTCCCAGTGATAAGTTAATGTCCAGGAGCCGCTGCTCGAAGTTTTCAGAGAATAAGAATAGGAAAATCAGCATAAAAAGTAAGCAGAGGCAAGAGCAAGCAGAAAAGCGTCTGCACTGTAAGAAAGATAAGAGTCTAGGGTTAGTGTTGCCTGACTTTATAAAGTGTGTTTGTTTATAAGTGTGTGGTTGCGTTCTAGTCACTTTGCTCAGCGCTACTGCTTGTTACAACTTTCATTTTCCGTACTCGCCATAAACTGTTATTATGGCTCAGGTTAATCTCGCCCCCTTCCGACGTGAGCGTGGTTCTTGGTTCTTGCCGGGCAGCCAAGTGGGGTCAGCTAAGAACCGGTGTTCGGTGTTTAGAGCCGGCTCCGCTGCGGCTGAAACAGGAAGAACCAGAGCTAAATCAGGCTGAGTGTGAAACAAGCCTATTGAGTCAGTGTTGCGGTGCTGTTGCTTTGGTCTGGATCTGTGAGCTAACCACGCCCCGTCATTTGCATATAAGAAATGGAAATGTGTCATTATGAAATACAAGTCCCCTGAAATAAATAAATGTGTCATTATGAAATACAAGTCTCTTGAAATAAATAAATGTGTCATTATGAAATAACAGTCTCTTGAAATAAATAAATGTCTCATTATGAAATAAAAGTCTCTTGAAATAAATAAATGTGTCATTATGAAATAACAGTCTCTTGAATAAATAATGTGTCATTATGAAATACAAGTCCCCTGAAATAAATAAATGTGTCATTATGAAATAAAAGTCTCTTGAAATAAATAAATGTGTCATTATGAAATAACAGTCTCTTGAAATAAATAAATGTCTCATTATGAAATACAAGTCTCTTGAAATAAATAAATGTGTCATTATGAAATAACAGTCTCTTGAAATAAATAAATGTGTCATTATGAAATACAAGTCTCTTGAAATAAATAAATGTGTCATTATGAAATACAAGTCCCCTGAAATAAATAAATGTGTCATTATGAAATAAAAGTCTCTTGAAATAAATAAATGTGTCATTATGAAATAACAGTCTCTTGAAATAAATAAATGTCTCATTATGAAATAAAAGTCTCTTGAAATAAATAAATGTGTCATTATGAAATAAAAGTCCCATGAAATAAATGAATGTGTATTTAAATGTACATGTATACATATTTATTGCCTCATTTATTTATTTCAGAATTTATTTCATAGGCATATTTATATATATATATGTATTTATTTATTTATTTAATTTTGGCTTAAATGGCATTCCATACTCACTAAGTTTCACTTTTCGTTTCTGTGAAGTTGAAGCTCTCCTGTTTCAGTGCTCCTCCTCCTCAGTGTAGCTCTGTGAGTGAGGGTGTATCACTCTCTGGGGAGGACATTAACTCAGATTTGTAACAAGAGGAGTTTTGACATTATGATTACCATGTTTTTGTTTTAAACGAGAAAAAGTTACGATGGAAAACTTTTGTCACAAATAGGCCTCTGTGATTTTGAGGTTTTACAATAAAACACCTCTTTAAAATAACTAAACGCAGATAAATAGAGGTCTGTAAATTAAGTAAAAGTGTCTCAATCAGAGAGTAGCAGGTCTAAATTACCTTCCACCACTTGAATATCAATAGTGTCTGAGAAAACACATGATAATGTACATATACTGTGTATATACATCAATATATACATGATGTATTATCATCACTTTTATTTTTATTCATGACTTTGTAAATCTCAAGTTTGAACACGTAGGAAACAAGTCTGGTTTATTCCACCGATGTATGCATGTACTTCGTTTTATTATAAGTTCAATGAAACAGTTATTTATGAAAAGCGTGCATCAGGCTGCAGTGGGTTAGTTCCTCCACAAGAGGGCGGCCTCAGCTCTCTCTCATTTTCTACAGACTCTGGTTTTGGGTTCATATCATCTTCTCAAACACAACTAAACTGCACATCTTTACTTTCAATCATTTACATCCATTTGGGAACCATATCACTTCCACAAGACCTTTACATCATGCATTAATAAACAGTTTGACCAACTTCTGCAGGTCCATATTAAGAGAAGATAAGATAAGATGAGATGGACCTTTATTAATCCCCGTGGGGAAACTCAGTAGTTTAACAGCAACAGGGTAAGAATGAAAAACAGGAGATTCACACAGATGAATACGATTAAGGATAAAAATGTAAAATGATAAAATAACTATAAAATAAGAAATGAATTCAAATGAACATATACACATGGGTACATATTATTTACATGTGTGTGAAAACAGTGTGTATTTTATGTCCAGTAATTGTGCCATTGTAGAACTTGTTTTATATATAGTTGGTATACTATTTTTTGAATACTTTTATTATAAAATCTATTTTTTGGGAATAGGGAGTACATTAATCCTTGGTTTTTCTCTGGTAAGAAATATACATTCAGTCTTTTTGTATTTGTTTTATTTTACAATTATTGCTAAAATGAGTTAAACATTTCACTGTGCACATGTTTGAAATACTTCAGCAGCGTGTAAGAGCCATTTGACAATGTGTGCCCGACAATAGTAGAGAAACCACCCCCCCCCTAAAAAACCCCACCCTCCAAGGATGTGGAGCTAATGTCACCCCATCGGACCACAAACGGTGTAACTGTGTGTGTTGATGGATCCATAACATTGTGCGACCTGTTTCCATACTCAATCAATAAAGTACTTCTTATCATACATTGTGGGGACTCCAAACACTGGGTAGTCATAATAGAAACTAATTTAATACATACTTTTTTTGTAATATTGAATGTACCGTCTAATGACACCCTTTAAAGGATATGAGAGTGTGTGTGTGTGTGTGTGTGTGTGTGTGTGTGTGTGTGTGTGTGTGCGTGTGTGTGTGTGTGTGTGCGTTCTCTCAGCTCTGCAACGCCACCCCCCACGAGCTGGAGCCCATCGTGGGTCAGGCTGCAGCTCAGCAAATCCACAGCTTCTTCCACAAACCCACTGCTGCTGGAACCTGAGCTCTCAGAGTCTGGGGTCTGATTTTCTGGTTGTTTGCTTAGTAAGGACATATGAAGCTCATTTTCAGGTTCATATATGTATTTAGTGTCTCTGCTGTGACGTGTTTCTAGGCTTTAATGTTCAAAAAGGTCTTATTTCATGTTAAACCCCAATATAATTCAACATGAACCCTCCTTTATTGTAAGATCACACGATAAATAATATAATACAACTGCTACCCTGCTGCTAATTTTGTTTATTAGATTCTTTTCATTTAAACCTGTTTAACTATGGTTCTAGCCTTGAATGACCCTTTACTGTGATCAAACCAGCCTAATGGGGTCCTATATTATGGTCATTTTCAGGTTCATATATGTATTTGGTGGCTCCACTGTGACATGTTTCCATGCTTTAATGTTCAAAAAGCTCTTCGTTCTTCCCAGTCTTCTCTTATTGGTTAGCTGGCCGGCTCTGTTGTGATTTGGCAACGGCTTAGGTATGTCCCGCCCCTTATCACGTACAATGTGTTGGAGCACAAATTTAGATGCAACAAAAACCTATACAACACACTGCAGGGAAGGCAAACCCCAAAGAGCATAATAGGGTCTCCATGAAGTTTGTGATTTCAGAATGAGCTTGAAACTAAAAAACAGGCAAAACACACATTAAAGACAATCTAGATACTATCACTAATTACACTTAGATCTCATTGTGCTCCTTTGTTCCTGTAAACTGTTTCAGCAGACTGTCCAGTTATTATACACAGCGACATGATCATACACTACCTACCATCTCAGATTTAAAAGGGTATTTGAGTTCTCTGAGAATAGCTGATGGGGTTTTTAATCAGATGTTGTCATGAACACATTAACTGCTTTTTTTACTTGATTCCAAATAAATACAATAAAGTTTAATCAGAATGTATTTTTATTTCTTAAAAGAAAAGATACAATTAAAAAACTTTTGTGTTTTTCAAAAAATGCTGTTTTGCTAAATATTCATTTAAACAAGGATAAGACAAATACTGTTGTCTCTGAAACATAGACATTCATGAAAGTACAAACGCTTGTATGTCGTACGTTGGATTTTACAGTCCTGAAGGAAGTTGATACAGTTTAAAAGATTTTAAGAGATCATTTGAATCATCGCAGTTGATTGGTTTCATGTTGTTTGTAACAATGTGACACATCAAAGAAAAAAACATTAACAGAAAAGAAAATAATGTATTTTTTATAAAAAATCTGGTATAACAATGTATAGAGGGGGCATCCCCCCAAAAGACATACATTTATCACATGAAATGATAGCGAACCCCGTGTGAAACATCAAATGGTTGTTCTACTCAGTGTGATTGACAGGAGAGATGATCAGAGGGCCAGAGTTTTTACCACCATAGTTAGGACAAGGACTAAATAATGGGTTGAGTTTCTCTTTGAAGCAGCAGCCAGTGAAGGAGTAGATCAGAGCTGCAGCATCAACATCATAAAAGGAGACCAGACCCTCCTCATAATCCACAAACACCCCCACCTTCTGAGGCTGAGACTTCAGAGAGAGACGGACTGCAGGACCAGCACAAGCTTTGTACTCATTTTCATTCCTCAACACTATCACCCAGTAACCTTTCTGAGGAGACAGTGAGATCTGTCCCTTCCTGTTGATCGACTCTCTGGCCACTCCTAAATACCACTCAGTCTTCCCTTTAACCTGAACCTCGCAATAAAATCTTCCTGAAGAGAAACTCTGCTTTGCTAAGACACTAGCACAAGAATCAAATCTCTCTGGATTGTCTGGGAGATTCTTTCTCACATCACCATGTTTAACTTGTTTTCCATCATCAGACAGGATGAGATAGGGTTGTGCTGTATCAGGATCAAGAGTCACCTCCACCTCATACTGCTGGACCCTCTTCAGCTCCACCTCAGAGAGCAGCTTCTTCATCTGTTTACTGAGCGTCTCCTCCAGCTGAGTCCCAGCTCTCACCACAGTCCCCTCACATGAAGGTGGACGGACCCTGACTTCTGTCCAGTTCTTGGTGGGTGGAGCAGCGTTCAGGGACGTGAAGCTTTGGAGGAGGTGGAGCTGACCTTCAGAGCGTGAGAGCTGCTCCACCTCAGAGCTTCTCTTCTTCAGCTCAGAGATTTCCTGTTCCAGCTCTTTGATGAAGCCTTCAGCCTGTTCCTCTGTCTCTCTCTGCTTCTCTTTGATCGTGTCGATGACCTCGGCCTGGCTTCTCTCAGCAGACTCCTTCAGAGCGGTGAAGACCTGAACACCATCTGCTATCTCTCTGTCTGCTCCTTCCTTACTGAGCCATTCATCTCCTGAATCTTCAGTCGTCTCTTCTGGATCATCTGCTGAATTTCAGCCTCTGTCTTCCCCAGCTCAGCCTTCTTTCCTTCATATCCTTCTTTCAGAGGAACAACATCATGTGTCTTGTGGTCTGAAACAGTGCAGAGCATGCAGACACACACCTGGTCGGTCTTACAGAACAGCTCCAGCAGTTTATCGTGCTTCACACACATCCTGCTTCCCAGGTTCTCCTCAGGGTCGATCAGCTGATGTTTCTTCAGGCCTGCCCTTGTCAGGTGAGGCTCCAGGTGAGTCTCACAGTAGGACTCCAGACACACCAGGCAGGACTTCAGGGCCTTCAGTCTGGTTCCAGTGCAGGCGTCACAGGGAACTTCTCCTGGTTTGACAACGTGTTGCTCTGAGCGGCTGCTGCTGGCTTTCTGTTGAGCTGACTGTCTGAACTGAGCAGCCATCTCAGAGATGAAAGTGTTGACCAGCAGCTCAGGCTTTATGTTGAATACCTCTTTGCAGTTGGGACACTGACTCGGGACTTTAGTATCCCAGTGTTCAGAGATGCAGGCTTTACAGAAGTTGTGTCCACATGATGTGCTGACTGGATCAGTGAACACATCCAGACAGATGGAGCACAGAAACTGATCTTCAGTCAGCAGACAGCTGGCAGCAGACATGTCTGTAAGAACAAACAAGGTTTTAACTAAATGTAGTAGAGAATACGGTATGCATACTGGATGTAAAAAGCTGACACGAAAGTTCACGGCTTGCTTTAAGAGTTAAATACTATCCTTAATGTGTTAAACATGTAGATCATTTTACAGTGTGATTAAATGTCCTGCTATAACTCTGTGACCCATAAACAACACATGACCACAACTCAATTATATTATTTGAAAAGCCTAATCCATCAGAATATATGTAATCATAGCCTCTGATCCCTCTGATCTACCAGTCACTTAAAAGACTGAAGCATGTGGCTATTAGCTGCTTGTTAGTTATTCAAAGAGAAGGACCACATGGATGTTAGCCTCTGCAGACCATTTACATGCACAGAAACCTATAGAACACTACAGGAAAGGGAAAAACCATAAAAGAATAATAGGGCTTCTTAAAAAAATGGCCTTGAGAGGAATTCCTGAGGTTTTGAGTTTATACCTGATGTTGAAACATTGTCAATTATCAGCTTTGCTGCTTGTGGTAGAAATTCTAATTCCCTTCAGAGAAACTGATAAATGAGTCATGTAGAAAGTTTGTCTTTTGTTGTATTTAACAAAGTAAAATACGATCTAAAATGCAGGAACAGAGCAACTTCATCCTCAGAGGATAAAGAGGGTCTAATCCTACCCATAAATTCTGTTAGACATTATATAAACATTCCCACCACCACACCATAAAACCTCCCAGTCCTTAGCCATTTGCAAATCCACCTTTTGCCCTCTGAAATGTAAAACCTAAACATCAGCGACGTGCAGTCAGGGGAGTCAGAGCCTCACCTGTCATACTCCAATGTAACGGAAAAACAACTAAAGAAAAACTAAATAGTAATAATAATAAAATGTCTCCACTGATCTGTGTTGTAAGTGTGATTTCTGTATGATTCCAATCGCTTTTTATAGTCAAAATCAGCAAATTTGCCGAGCTCCGCTACAACTACATGGGAGCGATGAGGAGTGAGGCAGGGACGAGCTCTGCCTCACGTAAGCCCACAGTAACTGGCTGGAGCGCGGGCACTAATGTAGGGCGGGCACTTATTTTGTGAGCGCGCTCAAGCCCGTTACTGTGGGGTAAGGTGAGGCACAGATGAGCTCTGCCTCACCTCAGAATGCGTCACCCCACAGAAACTGGCTGGAAAGCGGGCACTAAGCGCATGCCTGTTACCATCTCACTGCAGGTCACCAATGTAATGTTTGTAGATCCCTTTACTACATTTATCCTCGCCATCCATAGTCTCTAAATAACTTATTTCACGTATATATGATATTTAGGCCCGCTGGTCTCATCATACGACGGCAATGAAAAAAGCACCAGGAGAGGCAGTCATAACCTCTGAAGGGGGCGCACGTGAGCCCACAGGTTCTTGTTGCTACTGTAATTCTACGCAGAGACGGTAGACGCAAACAACAAACTAGACTTTTGAAACTAGAGGAAGATAAGGAGGACTTTTACAAAAAAGTAATGGAGATTGTTGTCCAGAAGGATAGCATGGACTTCATCTTCAAGTCAAGGTAAGACACGACGCTGAAGTTGGCTTCCGATTCAGAGCTTCCGATTCGGCAGTTAAGGGGAAAGTTAAGGGAAATGTAATTTACAGCGCTGAGCGAACAATCCTCCGTGTTTGAACCTCTTAAATCGATGCATAGCCGATTTATTTGGACTGGATTATCCCAGAGAGGCTAAACATTCTTTATAACACAGTTTCAGATTTGTGAAACCTTAATTCTATTTGTGAAAATACAAAAAAGAGAGAGATTTCAGTGCTTTTTTGCATCCTGGCCACATTAGACCAGGTCCTGATCTAAAAATCTAAAAATGTTTGGTTTTTGTGACCAGTTGGACTCATTAAGGCCATTGTTTCCCTTCATAAGTGCAACTACGGAAGTGGATTGGAGTCTTTCAGAGCCTGTCACAGTTCCAGATCATACCAGTGTAAAGCTATATGTACATTAGTAATCATAGATTTTCTATGTCAAAAAAAGTATAAACAGCATGCAACAATATCAAAACTTGCTAAACATGCTCACTTTATTATATTTGTGTTGCAAAGGTCATGCCACAGTCTGATAAGCATAACTTGTTTAAGAATTCAAAATGCAGCCCCCACTTCAATCAATAAAGCATTCCAAATATATATATCATGTGCAGTGCTCATTAGTAGCCATCATCCCATGCAGTTTAAATATACTGGGACCCCAGCAAGGCAGCGTTACACTGGTGAGTACATGTGAAAGGATTTCAGGAGCCTTTTGCTTTATTTACATTATTTTAGTGGTTTGAGTAAGACTACTTTTTAGAAATTCTAACAATGTATTTTTGAAAATGTATGAAACTAAAAAAAGTCTCCATACCTGTTAAATAACAAACTAACTTTCTACAAATAAATTCAAGATGTTTTTTAAGATAGACTATATACATGTTCTGAAGCCACTGTGGCCTCAGGATGCTTCCAACACAACATTCAATAGCTTTAGCCAACGAGCTGCTGGGTCAGGTGAGGCTGCAGCAGCTCTGTGCCCTGATGTGAGCTATCATCTGTCTTTTGGAGTATGTGGTGTTCTAAGGCTCTGTGCCTGTTAGCATGTTAGCCTAGCTCCTGCTGGGTGACAGACCCTGCAGTTTGTGATGGACTCTTACCGCTGATGCACTGGCAGAAAGAACATAATTGCGAGGCCTGGTCTCCTGAAAAGCAGGTGCAGCCTACAAACAAGAGCAGGGAGGAGGAGACACATGTTGGCACAGTCATGCATTACAATCATAAAGCAGAACAACAAAAACAGTTGGCCAAAAGCAAAGCTGGATCATTTATTAATTGCTGTTAAAGCATAAACAGTTAGAATGCTTTAGTACGTTTTGCTTGAACTTTAATAAAATGATCCTGTGAGGATAATAAGTTAATTTGAAGCAGACTCAGGGTCAGGGTTGGGGAAAAATAGGACCCAAATGCAGTAAAAGGACTAAAAGTTCAGGTAACAAAAAGCGAGCTTTATTTCCCAAAGCTGAATGACAAAAGAAAACAAGGAACAACTTAACATTCCAAAACCGGGGGAGTACGAGGAAGGATCAGGACAAAAAACCTCAGGAACAAACATGTAGCGTGACAGGTAGCATGGACAAGAGCAAAGAGACTAACAGGTATCATAGACGAGAAACGACGACGAACAGACATGGAGCACAGGGAAGACAAGACAATGCGAAAAAAGCACTGAAATCTCCCTTTTTTGTATTTTCACAAATAGAATTAAGGTTTCACAAATCTGAAACCGTGTTATAAAGAATGTTTAGCCTCTCTGGGATAATCCAGTCCAAATAAATCGGCTATGCAGCGATTTAAGAGGTTCAAACGCGGAGGATTGTTCGCTCAGCGCTGTAAATTAAATTTCCCTTAACTGCCGAATCGGAAGCTCTGAATCGGAAGCCAACTTCAGCGTCGTAGGTAAGACCACAATTGTAATGAACATGGGATCTTACTAAGAAAGAACAATCCAATATTTAGATTTTGGGTATCCTTTTGTTGAACGGTCTGTTTAAAATGAATCGAAGCATCAAACTAAAAAAGCTTTTGAAAATAACCGATTATTTCGATTAAGGTCAAAATATAATATTTGTAAATCTGACTGTGAAAGAGTCAGTGCCTCACCAGCCATGAACCTCACCGCACGTCACTGCTATATATATATATATATATATATATATATATATATATATATATGTATTTGCATGGCCTAATACCATAATTATTGTCTCCCCTTTAGACAACATAACCATCTCAAGTTATTCACTCACAGTATGAGGGGTTTGTAGCCCCACAGTTAGCTGCAGTCTAACGGTATTACATATATTTGCCTTGAGTAACATTAAGGACATGTTTGGGTTTTGTGTAGCCTTATAGTCTCCAGTCACACAGGGCCTGCCACTAACTTAGCATTGGACTGAGAAACTGTTTTGTTGACAGTCGATGTGCACATCAGGCTACAATATAGAAAGAAATGTGGCTCATAATGTTCGCTCACTTACTTTCTGCTTCGTCATTCTATACCATACGGGGGGTTCTGAATAAATCATTGATTTTAGCACATTTCGCTGCCTTTTTTTGTTGCAGGATGGGGGTCCATCCTTCCACAATAATTAACCTTGTCGTCAGTTTCAGTCGGTCCAGTCCACACTAATGTAAACAGCAGCGCGCTAGTCTCGTGAGAAACGGAGAGTGGAACAACCAATCACGTCTTCATTATTCTCCTGAAATTTAAATGTGCACATTCGCCAGTCTGACAGGTGCGTGGTTCTCACTGCGCCTCATACCGGTGCAACTTTGAACACCTTCAATATATGCCGCATTAATGGATTTGGCCTGCAGTCACCGCATCTGGGCTGAATTAAACACGTATTATTTTAGTCCTGTGTTTTTATTAGAGGCCATGTCAGCAGGCCACATCATATTATGCCAGCGTTGCGTTCACAAGACATACAAGCCACAAACTGGCAATCGAAACATGCCACAACCTGAGGGACAGTGAAAGAGACACACAGACACACACCTTGAGGGAGGGAGGGACAGCTGATCGCCGTGCAGCAATCAGCTGTTCCCGAGCAGAGAGAGAGAGAGAGAGAGAGAGAGAGCTGCTAGACACAACTCTTATTAATCCCCGTACCGGACAATTGTTATTTGTTCCAAATCGGAACCGGATTTCGGTTCCCGACCCTCATCACATCCCCAGCCACAGCCATGGTCTTAGCCGGTCTTGACATAAAATCTCGAGTCCTATAGGTCCGATACAGAGACAATACGAAACCAAATGCAGTCGATTCCGAGACAAGACCAATACCGTTAAAAAGTGGTCTGGAGACCGGTCTCGAGTACAACACCAGCAAATATTCTCATACTAATGATTATTAATTATTATTACCCTCTCTTCTGATACCAATACTGTGCCGATGAGAAAGTGTACCTGGAACACTC